GCTCTCAGTCCGTGTTGCTGTTTCTTGCATTTCTGCATCTGGGCTTTGTTCCAGATCTCCCTGTTCCATCAGCTGCTGCTCAGATCCCTGGATCACAGGCTCAGTCTCGCTCAGGATCTCAGTGGGGATTTGCTGCTCTGTTTCCAGCATGGTCTGGCTGCCCTCTGAGGGGCTCTGTGGGGCAGGCACCGGGCTCTGAGTCCCTGTTGGTGTTTCTTGCATTTCTGCAGCTGTGCTTTGTTCCAGGTCTCCCTGTTTTTCCAGCTGCTGCTCAGATCCCTGGATCTCAACCTCAGCCTTGCTCGGGGTCTCAGTGGGGATTTGCTGGTCTGTGTCCAGCAGGGACTGGCTGCCCTCTGAGGGGCTCTGTGGGGCAGGCACCGGGCTCTCTGTCCCTGTTGGTGTTCCTTGCATTTCTGCAGCCCTGCTTTGTTCCTGGTCTCCCTGTTCCATCACCTGTTGCTCAGATGGAATCACAGGCTCAGTCTCACTCAGGATCTCAGGGCTGATGGGCTTGGGTATGTCCAGCACGGCCTTGCTCCCCTCTGAGGGGCTCTGTGGGGCAAGGACTGCGCTCTCAGTCCGTGTTGCTGTTTCTTGCATTTCTGCATCTGGGCTTTGTTCCACATCTCCCTGTTCCATCAGCTGCTGCTCAGATCCCTGGATCACAGGCTCAGTCTCGCTCAGGATCTCAGTGGGGATTTGCTGCTCTGTGTCCAGCAGGGCCTGGCTGCCCTCTGAGGGGCTCTGTGGGGCAGGCACCGGGCTCTGTGTCCCTGCTGATGGCACCAGCTCCCCAGAGGCTGCAGAACCTTCTGCCTTTGTCTCCTCAGGAGCCACAGGCCCCTGGGGCTCCTCCTCCTCAGCAGCTCTGGCCGGGGCAGCAGCTGCCGGCTCGGCCTCCGTGGGACTCAGCGGGGCAGGAGCTGGGCTGGGCAGCTCACGGGCTGCCTCTGCTGCCACCTGTGTGCCCAAGCTGCTGGCAGAGCTGGGCCCCTCCTGGGGAACAGCCTGGGGGTCCTCAGCGCTCACCGGGCTCAAGGGTTTGTCCCAAATGCTGGAACCCACATCAGCTCCCCCCTGAGACAGCTTTTGGTCACTCACGTCTGCCCTTGGGGGCAGCTCTTGGGCCCTGTACTCTTCTTCCTGGGCTTGCTCCTTGTCTGTCTCCTCT